TGTTAGGTTTTTAAAGGAAGCACATGTAGAACACGATGTGCAGAGCGCGGTAACTTGCTCACGTATTCGTTGCAACCCGAAGCAGCCGATCCAGTCCCCTTTTTCTCGGTCTTCGTTTTCTCGGTCGATGGACGCGACAATCGTTGCCAGGCCGCTGACATACGACCACCCCCGCCGGCTTGAACCGGTGCCCCTCCTGTCCGGCTGCAGTAACTCCCGGCTGCCCTCACAAACTATTATCACCCCACGCGCTTCAGACAACCTGGCTTGATACCCGTGAGCTCCTGTGATTATGCTTCCCCCTGATCCGTCCAGTCTCATGGCCAGCACTCAACCAGTCACCCCGACCTACTGACACAGACTTTCACCCCCGCGTAAACGACACACCGCGACTGACGCTCTCCGTGAACGGACGCTCAAATCTGTTGCAAGCAAACAGTCAACTTACGTCAACCTGCCCTGTGTACAGAATGAACTATTCCACACAGCTCCCTGACAGCTGACATTAGAAGAAACGAACTTATTGTGCGTGGGTTAAGTTGATCTCACATCCTTGACCGCCACAAGTTGGTGACCCCGAATTTCCGAAAAAGGGAATTTATTAAACGTCCACCAGTCCTCTGTTCTTTTACAACACCATGTCAGGCGACAAGAAATCAAAGCCCGTCCCCCCTACATCGCATGTCTCCGCTAAATTACCAACCTTTTGGACTCGAAATGTCAAGCTTTTGATTGCGCGTTGCGAAACCAAATCCGAAGCATGCAACATCACATGGTAAGAGACCATGTTCATCACTTGCAGCATTGTCTTCCTGCCGAGTACGTAGAAGAACATCGCGACCTCCTCATCCACCGCCCTTTAGAACAGCCTTACGACAAGTGGAGTGAGGCTCTAGTAAGGCACGTAGCCAAGACAGAGGAGCGTCGACTACGACTACTCCTCACTGTCGAAGAGCTCTGCAACCGGAAACCTTCTCAACTACTGAGAAGAATGCAGCAGCTTGTTGATGAACGCAAGTTCGAGACCTCCATCGCTTGCCAACTTTTCCTTCAGCTCCTCACACTCGACGTCCAGACAGTTTTGGCTGTTTCTCAAGGAAGCATAGAAAAATTGGCAGAGCTTGCCGACAAGGTCATGGCACTGAGATTCGCTGTGACTCATTCAGTAAGTCACACTGCCAACCCTATTTCTCATGAATATGATCAGAGGACTGACCGATTCGAGCAGTTGGTCAAGCAACTGACAACTCGACCCAGTGCAGTTGCCGCAGGAGGTCCAAGGCGATCACGAGAACGCCGGCGGAGTTCCTCACGTTCCTGTAATCGCCGCCAGCAGTCTTTAAGTGGCATATGCTGGTATCACCAGCAATTTGGAGAAGCAGCACGATGTCTGCAGCCATGTTTATTTAAGTCAAATCCCAAGGCCTCGGAAAACGATACCGCCCCGCAGTAGACGCGAAGGCTGCCGGGAGCGCTGCCAATGTTCACAGTCGCCGTTTGTTTTTCTGGGACCGCGCACACTTCCCACTCCAGTCTGCTGACCGGTTTGGGCAGCGGCTGGGGTGTGGTGATGGGAATGAAGAGTGAGGTCGACGACTAAGCGCACTTCTCCTCACTATAAACAATCTGACGCGCTTAAAGCTATCACGGTGCGCTAAAAGCTGTGGCTTGGAAGGTTGCCAACTGGCGGGGTAACTTGGACCTCCTCCATGACCGGTGGTGGTCTGAGAGTCAGGCTGCAATGGCTCCTTTTTAATGTGGCCTTTATGGCACTCCCACCACAATGTGGTATCCGTGTCAGGCGTTGGCGGCACGCCCAGGTGCGGCTTCGGTCGTGCCAGCCTCCCAACTCTGTTGTTTTGGTGAAAATCTTGGTTATTTGTTGTGAACCAGGGAGTGTGGTGGAGCGCCAAGGTGAGGATCCGTCCGCGCCATCTACCTGCGGCCTCCCTCGTCTCCGGTCTTCTCGACTCTGTCTTGACACTGGACTCAGACGGGGGAAGAGATGAAAGTGTAGGTAGATGCATCGCAAGTCTACTGGCACTATAAATACCTGCGCAATTCACCGTCCCTGCTCCCACCGCTGCTGCAGCTGTGGGGCACAGGGTGAACATCGTCGAAATCGACGGTTGAACTGTCGGGACCGTATCGCAGGCGCCAAATTCCTTGTCGACACTTGTGCCGAGGTAAGAGTGGTTCCACCAACTCCGGCCGAACGCAAAACCGCAGCTCTTTTTGTCTAGCAGCTGCCAACAACTCCAGCATCCCCACCATTGGACAGCGCTCCATCACACTTTATTTGGGCCTTCGTCTAATTTTCCGATGGGTTTTCATTACTGCCGACCTTTGCGTCGCTCTCATAGGTGCTGATTTCCTTGCTCACTTCAGTCTACTAGTTGATTTGAGGAATCGCCGACTCGTCGATTGCATCACCAAACTTTGTACCCATTGCCAGTCCGATGTGAACTTCTGCGTCATCTCTGACTGTCCTTTCCACTCACTCCTCAGGCAGTTCCCCACCGACCATCCCCTCATTTCAAGAAGTGGACATCAAAAACACAGTCACCCATCACATTTCCACCAGTAGACCTCCAAATCTTGCCGGCCACGTCATCTTGCTCCGGACCGTTTGAACATTGCCAAGGCAGTGTTCGAACACATGCTTGAGTTCGGCATTATTCGACAGTCCGACAATTGATGGGAATCACCCCTCCATCTTGTCCCAAAGAAGAGCGGCGACTGGCGACCGTGTGATGAGTATCGAGCGTTGAACACAGCAACGGTCCCCGACCAATATCCAGTCCCACACATCCAAGGCTTCACCCTTTCGCTGCATGGTAAGCGAATATTCTCCAAGACTGAGCTTGTTCGTGCATAGCACCAAATCTCGATCGAGGCCAGTGATGTTCCGAAAACTGCCGTGACCACTCTCATTGGGTTATTCGAATTCACTTGTATGTCCTTTGGGTTGAGGAATGCCACCCGAACGTTTCAGCGATTCACTGGTCAGGTTCTGCGAGGTCTCGACTTCGGCTCCGGTACACGACCGCGACGACCGTCAACCTCAACTAAGTATTGACGGTCACGCCATAAATGTGCCTGGGGTTATTCAGGATCTGGGCGTATCATACTGCAAGAGTCTCAATCTCTCGGAGCACTGTGCCTTGATAGTCTACAAAGCACGTAGAACGACCGGGATTATCCTCCGAAACCTCAAAACTTGGGAGATAAGAATGCGTCTTTACAACATGTACGTTAGGCCTGGTCTGGAATACTGTTCGTCTTTATTTAGCCTCATGCGTGCTACTGAGCGGAAGAAAGTAGAATCCGTTCAACACTTTTTTACCAAGTGAGTTTTAACTCCGGAACACCGACATTTGTCTTACCAAGAACGTTGCCGGCTTACGGGCCTTGATCATTTATGGTTCCGTAGATTAAAAAAGGGACTATTTTTGCTATTTCACCTCTTATATAATCACACATTTAACCCACTCACCTCCTTAAGACATTTTATCCATCTACGACGTAAAAGTCACCGTGAAGTCTTTTTATTTCTTCCTCTGGCACGTACTGTTAAATAGCGTCGGGTTTTTTTTTCTGTAAATGCAATTGCTATTTGGAATAAACTACCAATGAGTGTGAAAAATCTGCAAAATTATCCTTTATTTAAGAGAACCATTACTCGATTTTTGCATTCAGAAAAGCTCCCACAAATTTTGGGTGCTGAATCCACTGATCGACTTTACCGTAGCGATGGCGTTTGTGGTCTCTGAACACAATGGCAGGTATCACCAGGAACAATTTCGTTGGCTAACAGCGACAGCTCTTCCTCAACGCCTATACTTTGACTATCCCCAACTTCATGAAAGGAATTGACGTTCGATAATCTCTGATACCGTTCGACCCCCCCCCCCCCCCCCCTTCTTGACGGTCGAATGTCTGCCGCCAGCAGTTTTTTCTCCTGAACCCTCCAAACCATAAAAACCACTATCAAGTCTATTTTTATTCCTTTTCCACAGGAGTCCCTTCACTGCTGGTAGGATGTGTGCTTAACGCTTCCTTTGATAATGCCTGTGAACGGGCATTAAGTAAAATTATTATTATTGTTATTACTCTGATGGTCTGCTGGTGGCTAGCTCTGACGCTGCAGAACACGAAGTTCATCTTTGATAACTCTTCGAACGACCCGACTCCTTCGGCGTTGTAATCATTTCCGTCAAATGTGAGTTTGGAGTTCCTAGCCTAATCTTACTGGGTCACGAAATGAACTCAGATTGGATAAAGCCCGTCCCGGAAAAGGTTTTAGCCATATCAACGTTCCCCGTCCCGACAACCATCAACCAAATACGCCGCTTCTCGAGTATGGTGAACTACTATCACCGTTTTCTTCTCCATGCTGCCACCATACTGCAGTCACTCAACAGCCTATTGACCCACTCCAGGAAGACACTGGTGATTATCGAGTAGGCCGTCAGGTCCTTCAATGACGTCAAGGCCGCACTTGCGAACGCAACACTGCTTGCTCACCCCCGCTCAGATGCCCACCTAACTCTCACGACAAATGTGTAGTGACATTTAAATCTGTTTTGTTTTAGTCAGTTACAATACGCCTTGACACAACTTTTAATAAGACAAAGAACACGCACGTGCACGTTTACCTGCTGACGACTTTGTTCTTATTTACTAGTTTGTAACTGTTGGGATACTGCTATTTTCGTTTCCTGGATAGCCTACTCGCTGTGCCCAACTAGTGGGTTTGTCTCTTATACTGGTGACCCTATATCGTTCATAGCTCCTTCTGTTTAATCTCTGTGCATAACTATTTCCATTCGGATTAATCCTCACTCTAATTTTTATCGATAAGATTATTCATCTAGCCCTTATTTGCTATTCACACTGTCTCACCCTTTCATCCAATACGAGCGCTACCCTTCAATCTCTCTGTCAACGCGCCAGTCCTATACCCCATTTATTTGACCTCTGACCGACCCCGGCTAATTATGTCCAGCGATTCTGCCAGCCAGCCGATAGCCGGCATTCACACTTTTGACCTGCCATCCGTGTGGCTCGGTGACATCGCGTTATGGCTGCGCACTGTAGAGTCACGATTCGCCCTCCGTCAGATCACACGAGAGGATACCAAATTTCACTATGTTGTGGCAGCACTCCCAATGGACATCGCCACCGACCTCCGCGACATCATAGATTGCCCGCCCACAGAAGCCCCTTATACTGCCCTAAAGGAGGCCCTCATTTCCCGCATTTCCCTCTCAACGCAAAAACGTCTCCAGGGTTTAATTTCTGAGGAGGACCTCGGTGACAGGAAGCCTACGCAGCTTCTTAGGCGTTTGGAGCAGTTGGCAGACGGACAAAAGCTGGATGCCACCATGTTCAAGCAACTTTTCCTCCAACGGTTGCCCCCTTCTGTGCAAGCCATCCTTGCGCCTAACATTCCTTCGTCGACTGTTCAGATGCTAGCGGAGACTGCTGACCGTATACTCGAGTACTACCAGCCTCCTGTTACGGTTAACGTCGCCAGTCGAAGCACAACTGCCCCCACAATCGAGGATGTCGTCAAACGCCTGGATGCCCTCACTCTCGAAGTTTCTTAGCTCCGGGCCACTCGCGTCTATAACCCTCGTAGTCCTGCAATTTCTCGCCGCCCGAGATCTCCAACTCCAAACAAACCTACAGTTGATGGTTTCTGTTGGTATCATCATAATTATGGTTCTAACGCCCATCGCTGCCACTCTCCGTGCAAATATTAAACACCCGCGTCGGAAAACTCCCCTGCCGACCAGTAAGGGCGACGAACGTGGTCGGCACATCCTCTCCCAGTCGCTTACTCCACATCTATGACAGGACTTCCTGTCGTAATTTTCTCGTGGATACTGGTGCGGAGATCAGTCTAATCCCACCCACCTTGACTGACCGTAAGTCACCAAATTCTTCATTTTTCCTCCAAGCAGCTAACAATACTTCTATTAAAACTTTTGGTCAACGATCCCTAACACTAGATTTGGGTCTAAGACGTTCATTTCGTTGGCTATTTACTATCGCTGATGTCCATACTGCCATTCTTGGCGCTGATTTTATATCCTTTTTTGGTCTCCTCGTTGACATTAAGTCCCATAAATTATTTGATCCTAAGACTTCTTTACATTGCACTTCTTCCACTCGTACCCTTTCGTCACCTAATCCACGCATTTCAACAATCCCTTCGTCTACTCCCTATCATCGTTTACTTTCGGAATTTCCATCTATCACACGACCTTCACAATTTAACCAACCTATCAAGCATTCTGTTGTACATTATATTTCAACTACTGGACCACCCGTGTTTAGCCGTCCCCGTCGTTTAGCCGCCGATAAGTTAGCCATAGCCAAGGCTGAATTCAGTCACATGATGGAGCTAGGCATAGTTAGGCCTTCCACTAGTCCATGGGCTGCACCTCTACATATGGTGTGCAAAAAGTCTTTCGTTGACTGGCGCCCATGCGGGGATTACCGACGGTTAAACACCTCAACTGTGCCTGACAGGTATCCACTTCCCCATCTCCACGACTTTTCATCTAGCCTAGCTGGAGCGACAATATTTTCCAACATTGACTTAGTCAAAGCCTTCCATCAGATACCCGTTGCTCCAGAAGACATTCCCAAAACGGCGATTACAACACCGTTCGGTCTGTTCGAGTTTGTCAGGATGCCTTTTGGGCTACGCAACTCCGCCCAAACTTTTCAACGTTTCATCAACGAAGCCCTCCGCGATCTACCGTTCGTTTTTGTCTACGTCGACGATGTTCTGGTAGCAAGTTCCAGTGAACACGAGCACCTACAACATTTGCGTCTCATTTTTGAACGATTGAGCCAATTTGGCGTTTTCATTAATGTTTCTAAATGCGTTTTTGGCGCACAGTCGCTGTTTTTTCTAGGACATCGCGTAGATGCTTCTGGTTGTCACCCCATAGATGCCAAAGTTTCAGCTATTCGCGATTTCCCTACTCCCACTTCTTTTCAACAACTGCGCCGTTTTATAGGCCTTGTCAATTTCTATCGACGTTTCATCCCTCATTGTGCTCAATTAATGCTACCACTTACTAACCTTTTACGCGGGAACAACCGTGAGTTTTCTTTTCCTGACACAGCTGTAGAGGCTTTCAATCTTGCGAGGAAGGCTCTTGCGGATACAACTGTCCTCGTTCACCCTATACCTGATGCCCCACTTTCCATTGTGGCCGACGCCTCTAATTTCGCTATAGGTGCTGCCCTTCAGCAACAGACGCCCACTGGCACCCAGTCCTTGGCTTTCTACTCTGCCAAATTGACACCCCCACAATCTCGCTATAGCACTTTTGGTAGAGAACTTCTTGCAATTTATTTAGCCATTTAGCATTTTCGTAATTATATTGAGGGCCGAGATTTTTGTATTTATACTGACCACAAACCTCTTACTTATGCCCTTTCTACTTCTTCTGACAAGTATTCACCCCGTGAGGCCCGCCTTCTCGATTTTATTTCTCAGTATACCACCGACATTCGATTTCTTAAAGGCCTTTATAATCAAGTTGCTGACTGTCTTTCTCGGCCTGGCATTAATGCCATCACCCGCCCTTCCATCGATTTGGAGCGCATGGCAGAACTGCAAAATCAGCCGACTTTCAGTGACAGCCTTCAACACACTAGTCTCCAACTCGAAGCCATTCCTCTTTCCACCACCCCCGGTACAATCTTGTGTGACGTATCGCGCGGTGCCTCCCGACCCGTAGTGCCAAACGAGATGAGACGCGATGTTTTTGCCGCGTTGCACAATCTAGCTCACCCTGGCATCCGCACTACCCAGCGCCTAGTTAGCGAGCGGTTCGTTTGGCCAAGCATGAACACTGTTTGGCCTGTCAGAAGGCCAAAGTCGGACGGCACAACAAAGCCCCCATTGGCACTTTTCTCGCACCCGACGCACGTTTTTCACATGTTCATATCGATCTGGTAGGTCCCTTTCCAACATCTCGTGGTTGCAACTACTTACTTACTGCAATTGACCGATTTACTCGTTGGCCCATTGCAACTCCCATACCTAACATAACTGCAGATTCCGTTGCTCATGCTTTTTTGGAACACTGGATCTCTCATTATGGCGTCCCCTCAACTATTACCACCGATCGAGGTCAACAGTTCGAGTCTAGACTTTTTAACAGCCTTACCAACCTCCTCGGATGTTCTCGCATACGTACGACAGCATACCACCCCTCATCCAACGGCTTAGTCGAGCGTTTCCACCGGCAACTCAAAGCCTCGCTCCGAGCTCAGGACAACCCTCCCCATTGGAGCGAGCATCTGCCTTTGGTCATGCTCGGTATCCGTACCGCACTTAAGCCCGACTTGGAGTGTTCCGCTGCCGAACTTGTCTACGGTACCACCCTACGGATTCCCGGGGATTTTTTCGGGCACTCTCAAAGCTCAGGCGACTTGGATCCCAGCGATTATGTGCAAAGATTGCGCCAAGCCATGACTCATCTTCGAGCCACTCCTCCACGTCCTTCAACAAGTAAGTCGTACGTCGACCCGAACTTACTAACATGTTCTTTTGTATTTGTCCGCGTAGATAGCGTTCGCCGGCCACTACAACAGCCCTATGACGGCCCATTTCGAGTACTATCGCGCAAGGACAAGCACTTTACAATTGACCGTGGAGGCCGCACCGACGTGGTCTCAATCGATCGCTTGAAGGCGGCTTATACCGAGCCTCTTCCAACTTCTCCAACCGAACAACCCCCACTTGGCACATTGCCACTTGCTATTTCCCAGACTCCATTTACGCCCAATAACCCCGCGTCTTCCCTTATCCCACAGACTCCTCCCCTTACGCGCAGCGGTCGTCATGTCCGTTTTCCCGACCGTTACCAACTTGTACAATATGCATAACACTCCCACATTTTCCTTCTATTAACAATATTTTTTTTTCGAACTCCGTTCTCCTAGGAGGGGGAGTATTGTAGTGACATTTAAATCTGTTTTGTTTTAATCAGTTACAATACGCCTTGACACAACTTTTAATAAGACAAAGAACACGCACGTGCACGTTTACCTGCTGACGACTTTGTTCTTATTTACTAGTTTGTAACTGTTGGGATACTGCTATTTTCGTTTCCTGGATAGCCTACTCGCTGTGCCCAACTAGTGGGTTTGTCTCTTATAAATGCTTCCAACAGTGCAGTTGGTGCATCACTTCAGCAAACTGTTGATGGTGTTCTACTACCTTTGGTTTTCTTCTCTAAGAAGCTCAGCCCAACAGACACCCGCTACAGTGTCGTCTTCCGAGAATTCCTCGCCATCTACCTATCCATCCGGCACTTCTGGCATTTCCTCGACGGTCGAGTGTTTCTTGTTCTACCAGATCAAAAGCCACTCGTTTTTGCACTGAGGTCCTCTTCCGATTGATACTCACCCCGTGAAATTCGTCAACTAGATTCCATCTCACCGTTTTCCTGCGACATCCAATATGTCCATGGTAAGGAAAATGTGGTTGCTGATCCTCTTTCGAGAATCAAGATGACTTCCTTCACAAAAGACACCATAAACTTCACACTCATGGCTGATGGTCAACGATTGGATGACGAGCTCTCCCAATACCGCCACGAGGACTCTTCTTTACGTCTTCAAGATGTCCCCCTTCGCAATGGCACTGGCACCATAACGTGCGACCTTTCTACCAGACACAAACGTCCTTTTGTCCCAGCAACTTCAAGACGACAGTTGTTCAACGTTCTTCACAATCTATCCCACCCTGGAGTACGGGCGACAGTGAAACTCATCACTGGCCGATTCGTCTGGCCCAACACCAACCGGGATGTACGGCGTTGGACCCGATCCTGTCTACCATGTCAGCACGCCAAAAGGCATCGGCATACTATTAACCCGCCAGGTACTCTCGCCAATCCTGATGCACGTTTCAGTCATGTGCACATTGACCTGGTAGGTACGCTTCCACCATCTAACGGTTCTACCTAAGTCCGTTTAAGTCAGTTTATTAAGGGAATGAGGCCTTCGCCCCTGAGCTGCTTATTCATATAGACAAACAGAAATAAACTCATCAGTTACATCAGCAATTGCGGAAATTCAAAAACAAGCGATAAGTTTGAGCCAGGCGCAAACTGCCGCCGCTAAAGCAATCGTGATCAGATGTACAGTAGTTTCTCAACAAATGAGCATCTGGTCTACAATTAAAGGATTCGATAATTTCGGAAAGAACCACCGCATCAGGGAGTCCGTTCTATGCTCCAATGACCCTGTGGGAGAAAGCGTCCCGTCGGACGTCCGAATGAGCCAACTTCCTCTGCAGTTTGATGGGATGACCACGCGGACAGTCAGTCCCGGCCAATTCGAAGAATTCATCAAAGTCTAGAGAGCACTCACGGCCTCTGACAATCCTGTAGGTTTGAATGAGATTGCCGCGCAGTTGACTGTATTGGAGAGGAAACAGTTTTATTTCGCTCAGCCTGGTTTCGTAAGGTAGATGACGGATATTCTTGACCATCTTCGTAGCCATCGCCTGTACTCTTTTCAGTCGTTGATAATCTTTCTTCCACCACGGTCGCCAGGCCTGGACTGCATACTCTAAGTGAGACCGGACGAATGCCCCGTAGGTTTTTCCGAACAGCTCTTTATCGATCTGCACAAACCCTCGCCTCAGCGCAAATAACACCCTTATCGCACTTTTGACTGCCCTTTGACACTGTGATGATGGTTTCAGCGAGGAGGTCATTATGACGCCGAGGTCTTTCTGTTTCACAACATTTAAAAGGGGCTGACCACCAAGGACGCATTGAAAGGAATCGTGCTCCTTACTTGTCCTCCTTGTGCGGAGTCTCAACACCACACATTTGTCCACATTAAAATTAAAGAGCCAAAGAGCTGACCAACTGTTCTGGCGGTTGAGAGTGTCTTGAAACGCGTACCTGTCTGCGTCAGATCTGATGGGTCTCCACAGCTTTCCATCGTCAGCAAACATGATGGCGCTACATCCCAGGTCGTCGACACAGTCGTTAATGTAAATCAGAAATAGCAACGGCCCTAAGACGGAGCCCTGTGGTACACCACTTACAACGGGGGTAGGGGTTGACCTTGAGGCCTCAATTCACACGGTTTGCGATCTCCCGCAAGAAACTCTGTTATCCATGTCAGCAGCTTTTCTCTTATCCCAATTTCAGAAAGTTTGTAGGTTAGGCGTTTGTGTGGGATGTTGTCGAACGCTTTCTTAAAGTCTGTGTAGATGACATCGACCCTACCATCCTCGTCCAGTGCGCGAGTTCACTGCTTCGTCGAGGGCAGTAAACTGAAAAGGCACGAGCGGTTCTGTCTGAAGCCGTGCTGCAGGTCTGAGAGTAAGTGGCCCCGCTCCAGGAAGTTCATTGTTGCTTTCTTAACTATGGCCTCCATTATTTAGCAGCAGATGCAGGTTAGACTAACAGGCCGGTAATTGTTAGCATTAGTGCGAGCCCCCCCCTAGTATATCGGAAACATATTTGCTGTTTTCCGTTCCGATGGCAGCCTCCCTAATTTGAATGACGAGCGGAAGATGTGTGCCAGTGGTTTGAAGAGTTCATTCGCAAATTATTTCATGAATTTGGCCGGTATATTGTTCGGGCCCGAGGACTTTGCTTCTTTTGAGATTTTTCAGGTCCCTTTCAATGACAGCTGTCGGGAAGAGTATGGAGTCAAGCACGGGACCAGCAGTCTCAACAGCATTGCTGGTACAGCGACTGCGAAACTCTGTTTCTCTAGTAAAAATACTATCATATGTGTTCGGCTTTCTCGGTGTTCTCAATGATCTCTACACCATTATCTTCCTTCAGCACCGCGACCGGGTCCTTATTTTTCAGTCTACTGTTAAGATAGTGAAATAAAATTTTGGGCTTCTATACAGCCTGTCAGAAAATTTTGGATTCCTACTCCTTCCGTGCCTGACGGATACATTTTTTGACTGCATTTCGTTGACGACGAAATTTTTCGAAATGCGCAGGTGACGCAGTTTCCCTGAATATTTTCCATCTTTTGCGTTTCTTCCGTAGCTGCCTATTTAGGTCCCTAGTTAACCAAGCAGGTCGACTAGTTTTTTTTGTACTTTAGGTGGACAACGGCGCCTAATCAGATCGAGTGAAATCGTTTTAAAAGATCTCAAGTCGTCCTCCGGATCTCCCCTGAGTATTTGGTCCCAATTCACAGACAGCAATTCGTTCTTCATTATATTAAAATCTGCCTTCCATATATTAGGCTGACCCTCTGTTCTCTTCTGGCGTTTAGAGAAGAGCAAGTAATCCCATAGTAGCGTAGTATGGTCACTTTTCCTGAGAGGAGTATTGGAATACACTTCGTCGATATTGGAGATGTCTTTAGTGAAAACTAGGTCTAGACAATTTGCTCTCTGGTTCTCTCGAAATCTTGTTGGTACCTTCACATGTTGCGACAGAGGGAGATTGAGTGTGAGGTCCAGTAGCTTATTGTTGAAAGAGGCTGGTCCACCGTTAACTGCCATAGTCTCCCACTCTATTGCAGGTGCGTTGAAATCCCCAGCAATAGGTACCTCTTGGTGGCTAGCTACGGCTTTGACTAATCCAAGGAGCGACTCATCACCTACACTCAGAAGGTTTGGTGGTCTGTAAATCGCCAGGAATTCTAGATTTTGTGCGTTGCTCTTCTTTATCTTTATCCAGGCGGATTCATATTCAAGGAAGAGGGTGTGGGCTCTTTCAAATGTCGAAATTCCTGCCCTTACATATACGACTACCCCACCGCCCTGTCTATTTTGACAGTCTCTACGAAAGAGCAGGTAACCCGGTATCGAAATCTCAGCATCCACGATTTCGGCATTAAGGCAATTTTCCGTTATGACGATAGCGTCGGGGATTCGTTCTGATACTATCGCTTTGAGTTCGTCGATCTTCGAAACAAGACTTTGAGCATTGGTATACAAAAATCTCAGTTTGGCACGAGAAACTCCGGCATACAGGCGTTTATCCATTTCCTGGGATTGAATACAAAAGCCGGTCGGGTCTGATCCGGATGAACTGCTTTCCATCACTCCTAAGCTGTTACAGTTATGGGCTTTCTCCAGAGGAATGGCCTCTGGACGCGTCTAATTTTTCAGTCCCCTATTCTGAGATTTGTCTCGCCCAGAATCGACCGCCTGAGGACTTCCAATTTGAGCTCCCTCCATTTTTCTCGCTCCGCGGGCGAAAAGTCCCGCTGATAAAACTGATGGATGGGCATGTTAAAGGGCAGCTTTCCTGCTCAATAGTAGCTGCGCTTGTTCGTCATTCTCAAAGACAATTTTTAGCGGTCTCGGTCGGTCTAGTTCATGTTTTGAGTCTTTTATCTGGCCCATCCTGAAAGCCTTTAATACTGTGACTTTCTCGTCTCCTGTTTAGATCCATTTGAGATATTCCTGGAATATTTATATGTTATGTTGTTTTCTGTCCGTTGGAGTGTCGGAAACAGAATCAGGCAGTCCCTTTATAACAATGCATTTACTGCGATCAACTAGAGGGCCTTGTGGTTTAATTATACCTACAGAGCCCTCATCGCGGATATCCCCGTTACCGCCTTCCACCGATATAGGAAGGTTTGATTCGGTAGGACTAACGTATGACTGACTGTTTTCTACGATCTTTTGATCATTTGTCGTTTTCAGCGGCATGATTTTCGCCTGCGGTGTAGTCAACTCTTGTTCCCCTGTCTGAGGTACCCTGACATTTCTTTTTGTTCGCTGAGATCGCGTCTGATCACGGTTTTCACGTACAAGACACTGGTTATCATTCCTATACCTATATGCTGAGATGTACTGACCGCCTTACTTGGTGGCCGGTTGCTGCACCCATTCCGGCCATCAGTGCCGAAACCGTATCAAAGACGTTCCTGCCTCATTGGGTGTCTCCTTTTGGAGTTCCTGCGACTGTCACCACTGACCACGGATGCCAATTCGAGTCCACGCTGTTTCGCGAGCTCACATACCTTCTCGGTAGCAATCGAATTCGAACAACAGCATACCACCCTCAAGCAAATGGTCTCGTCGAAAGCTTCCATCAGCAGCTCAAGACATCCCTAATGTCCCAGCCCGATAATTCCCAATGGTATGATCACCTTCCCCTGGTGCTGCTGGCCCTACGTTCCACTCTTAAGGCCGGCATTGGTTGTACTGAAGCTGATATTGTCTACAGAACCTCCATACGACTGCCCGGGGAGTTAGTATGTCCTTCGAGCACGCTAACGTCAGTTGAACCTTGCGGTTATGCGGGACAGCTGCGTAGTGTCATTCGTAATCTCTGCGCAACGCCCCCTCGAGCGTCAGCAACCCATTCCTTTATCCCTCCCGACCTGGATAAGTGCAATTTCTTCTTGGTTTGGCATGACGCTGTCCGACGACCACTTCGACCACCGTATAACGGGCCGTATAAAGTCCTTCGTCGACGTAACAAAGACGTTGTCATTGACCGCAACCCCGAGACTAACACAGACAGCATTGATCAAGTAAAGCCGGCGTACATCGACGACAGTGACCATTCCTCCCACCAACACTGTACCCCGCCGCAAACAGTGATGCCTCCACCTACTGGCGATAGCCCGCCTCCAGTTCGCCGCACACAATATGGTCGCCACGCCCACTGACCCGTCAGGTTTGTGGCTGGCTAGCATATCGATGCCTTCACTTCGTTTGATGTCTGTGGGGAGCTGTAGCAGCCGCTCCAGTCCCCTTTTTCTCGGTCTTCGTTTTCTCGGTCGATGGACGCGACAATCGTTGCCAGGCCGCTGACATACGACCACCCCCGCCGGCTTGAACCGGTGCCCCTCCTGTCCGGCTGCAGTAACTCCCGGCTGCCCTCACAAACTATTATCACCCCACGCGCTTCAGACAACCTGGCTTGATACCCGTGAGCTCCTGTGATTATGCTTCCCCCTGATCCGTCCAGTCTCATGGCCAGCACTCAACCAGTCACCCCGACCAACTGACACAGACTTTCACCCCCGCGTAAACGACACACCGCGACTGACGCTCTCCGTGAACGGACGCTCAAATCTGTTGCAAGCAAACAGTCAACTTACGTCAACCTGCCCTGTGTACAGAATGAACTATTCCACACAGCTCCCTGACAGCTGACATTAGACGAAACGAACTTATTGTGCGTGGGTTAAGTTGATCTCAAATCCTTAACCGCCACAGACCAAAACCTTTGTCTCACCGCTATCTTCGTCTTTTGTTGTGCGTCATGGCCGAGTTCGTGGTGTAGGTCCGTTAGCACTGGAAGCACTAACCTGCTGGGAAGAGCTGAGGGAGGCGAACTGGAGTATTCATCCTTAAACAATATGATTTCATTTGTTGTCAAGATGTGCGGCCATTGATTGCGAAGTATATAGGCAGCATCCGAGGAGTCGATTTAATAAGTATCTATTAGCCAGGGTCCTACAACGGGCGATCACATACAACGGGCTAAGATTTCAAATGCTATCTACAACCCACGTGTGTGAGGAGTAGAATCATTCAGAGTAATGTACTTGACCCTCTATTATTTTGCCCTTTTGTCAATAACCTGCAAGATTTTCTTCAGAATGTTAAGCCCTCCATGTATGCCGATGATTTGAAGGTTTTACGTAGGTATAAGCCGGCAGATCGTGACATCGTGGTCGAGCTCCAAAAGATGGACCTACATAGCGTACATGGCCCTTTTCCCTCTCTCGCCATAAATGATCAGTCCTTTTGGTTGGCGACGACCACCAACCTCAATTAGGTATTGACGGTCACGGCACAACTGTGCCTGGTATTATTGGGGATATGTGTGTGGACGAGACAGCTAAAAGTCGTATTTGGAAACGAACAGCAAGCAAATTCATCTTGTCGTGAAAGTCCAGGCTTTGAAACAACCATTGTGGAGTGTTTTTCAGCCGGATTATCACCCAATCAAACGGATAAAAATGAGGACGCTGGTAGCGGAGCTGAGAAAACGTCAGAGCGAGGGTGGAGTGAATCTGAAAATAGCAAACAACCAAATTGTAAAAATAGAGCATTCCTTCTTGTGGAATCATCCGGCAACGTTGACGATAAATGCACCGGCGCTCGGTTCCGACAAACTTCAGACAATTTAAAATCGACTGGTGGACCTGGTACGCCATGTGAAATGCACAGTTATAACTAACAATCAAAAGCACCAGCAAACAATTTTCAGAGATCTAAACAGCCGGATAATATAAATATGATGAACACAAATGTGCAGAGTTTATGCAACAAATTGGATGAAATAAAACTCACCGTGGCCCATTTCCAACCCGACTTGATAGCTGAGCCAGCTAGAACCAGTGGCCGCTGTCTAGAAATCTATTGCACTAACTGTCAGAGTCTCCTCAACAAGCTAAATGAACTTAGATTACTAGTCTTTGAGCAGAAGCCTCACATAATAGTCCTAACAGAGACCGAGGAAATAATTACTAGTGAAGTCAGTATTGAAGGCTACCAACTGTTCCGTTGTGACAGATCTGAACGTAGAGGAGGAAGCACAGCGATTTACGTGGCAAATGAAATTCCGTGCTGTCAGCGAGAAATATCCGATGGACGCCGCGAAATTTTGAAATAATTTCATCCGAGATATGTATAAAACAATTACCGGCGCTTAACCTGTGTGTTGTCTATCGGCCTCCCAGCTCGAATGAAATCGCCGATATGGAATTACTTAGTGCATTGGAATTGTTATGTAAGCAGGAGAACTTACTACTTCTGGGTGGCCTTAATGCTCCAGGAATCGACTGAAACATTCCCTTAACAAACGCCCCGTTCGCGTCATTTGACCACAAGCTACTGCAACTCTGCATGAATGAATACCTCATTTAACACATAAAATTCAGAACAAGACATAGAGGAGGGCAACGATCTAACTGTTTAGATCTCTTTTTCAGTAAAGAAGAAGGACTCATAAGATAGATAGATAATTTTTATTAAAGACCCGTTAGGGTCCCATCAAAGCAAATTAAAATAAATTTAAATGCGAGTTTTAGATGAGGTAGGCCGAATCTTTACAAAATGCAACTCATCGTTTCTAAATTAGAAGTCCGTTAAGAAACACGATGATTGAGGGGTGAAAAAAAACTCCTTACAAAAAGTTAAAAATGATTGGATTAATTTTACAGGAGAAAAAAATCCCTAATTAAAAAGGGAAGTGAATCCACAACCTCCACCTGGTTTAAGCGATCATATTGCTTTTACCTGCGTGTGCTCTCTCCCATCGAACCACCAACCAAAAATCAAGAGGCGCAGAAATATTTGGAAGGGTGACTTTAACGCAATGAGACGCACTATTTTGGAGGAAACCTAGGTAGTCGACGTGGAAAATTCAGATGAATTCTGGCAGTACTTTCGCGGGATTATAGAGCGTCTAATTGATTCCCATTGTCCAATAAAAATGACAAGACTATGTTTGCGACCGCCGTGGGTCAATCCGACGACAAAAACGACCATGAAGAAGAAACAGAGACTCTGGAAAAAGTACTTGCAACTTTGAGATCCAAGGTCATTCGCCGAATATAAGGATCAGAGCAATAAATGCCGCAAACAAATACGGATTGCTAGAACTTCTTTCGAGCGCCAACTGATAGCAGAATCCATTAGATGTCCCAAGAAGTTTTACGGGTTCATCCGCAGTAAGAGAAAAAAATCGGGACGAAATTGCGTGTCTTTAGGATAACCTTGGAAACTTATTAGCTGAAGGGCCGCAGAAAGTGCAAATACTGTCTCAGTTTTTTCAATCGGTTTTGACGGAGGTGTCCTCAGAAGAAGATCAACAGTTTGAAATGGACCGAATCTTCGCTCTGAATTTTTCACGCAGAGGGTAGTAAGAAATGGAACGATCTCCCTCAGTCAGTCATGGAGGCTACGTCTCTGCAACTCTTCAAGAAACGCTTGGATGATTATTTGTGTCCCCTGTTTTCCCTCGACAGTCTAAATCTGAACTAAGACCCCACGTCCCCACAAATATTTTCTCTGAGACAATGCTACTCAAATGAATCAAGTACTGTTTTAAAGCGAATATTTTCCTGTTCGTGTACAGTTATTTTTAACGATGTGACATGCAATCAATAGTGTTTTCAAAGGCCTTGCCTATTATCCTTACCAAATAAACTGAAATAAACTGAGACAGTCGGGAGCTGCAAATGCGCCGAGACACTGCCGTCATTGAAACCGTTGCCTTTTCTGTCAAAGACGTAAGACACGTCCTCAGTCAAATAAAACCTGATAAGTCTCCTGGACTCGACGGAATTTCCGGGCTGATACTTAAGGAGCTATCAACGGAGCTGCCAAAGCCCCTTTCGACGCTCTTTGAGCTGGCAATGAGAACAGGACGGCTACCGTCACAGTGGAAGACAGCTAACCTCGTTTCCTTACATAAGGGCAGTATCAGGATGGCAACAAGCAGCTTCAGGCCTATTAGGTCAGTATATTTTAAGGATAATAGGCAAGGCCTTTGAAAACCCTATTGTAAACGGTACATGCCATATCTAACTTTAAGTAAACACGGTACTAAAAGGTTGTCAGAAACATATACACTTAACAGAATGTTGTCAGTAGAAATGCAGGACCAAAATCCAAGAACATTCAGTTGTAGATGATATCGGTTAAATGAGATGAAAGTCATCTGCATTAGCGGAAGGTGTATGCGAGGCGTTGGTTTGGCACCAATGAGCTGTTCTGTCCAGAAAAGCGGTATTGTCATAGCAAATATACATCGAGTCTTTGCGTGAACGTCTCCATGGTATCCGCCATTATTACGTCCTCGGGAAACCCGTTCCAGGCACCGAGGAGTCGCTGTGATATACAGTATCTGCGAACGTCCAGGCGGCATCGGAATCCTCTAAGTTTTAGAGAGTCCCCACGCAGGTTTGTTGTTGCGGCTTAACTTGCCTCTCATGCAAAACAATGAAAGCTCTAGTAAAGAGCGCTATTCAGCAGTTTTTTGAAGAGAATAACATCTTGCAGGATTTTCAACATGGCTTCCGGAGAGGACGTTCCTTCCTCTCAAATCCGCTAGTTTGTCTGGAGATCTGGACCAGGGCTCTAGAAGAGGGATTTGAGGTCGATGCCGTGTACATAGATTTCCGCAAAGCTTTCGATACTGTTCCGCATCAACGCCTTCTTCTCGAATTCAGCACCATCGGCATCCGTGGAGATCTTCTGAACAGGATTAGGGCTTTCCTGGTTTGTCGGAGACAATGTGTCTGTATTGGAGATGATATGTCAGAATGGGTGAACGTGATCAGTAGTGTGCCTCAAGGCTCAGTTCTGGGACCATTGCTCTTCATTCTGTATGTTAATGACAGCCTTCAGGAACTCGACTGCGGCAAAAGAATGTTTGCTGATGACGTTAAGCTCTGACGACTCATTAAGAATCAGAATGATTAGAGATCGCTTCAAGATAATCTGCACTGACTGCAAGCGTGGTCGGAGAAATGGCTTCTAGATTTCAATGTGGAGAAGTGGGACGTCCTTCATCTGCGTTCAACCAACTCTCATTCAAATGAGAGCCCGTGGGCATATCACCTGAAAGATATAAGGCTCCCCGCAGAATCTTCACAGAAGAATCACGGGGTTTAGATATAGAACAATCCGAAACCAACACTGTAGTGTC